GTTTGAAAGATGTTTCACAAAACAGGGAGATGTTAAATCCAGAGACAAAGGGGGAAAAAAAATCTTACTTGCAGAATGAAATTCCCTGTAGAGAGGGAGAAAAATCTAGAGGTAACTCTTCTTGCCCACAGCAAACACATATCCATCACCTTTTGAAATCACTTTATCTTTGAGACAAGAAAAGAAAACTATGTATGTGGCCATTTATGTCTAAGTCTGTCTAAAGTCAAAGATTTGGGTTAAAAGAACCTGAATCCCTCCCACAGACTGAATCCCTCCCACGGACCATATATGTCTGGTCTGCAGCCCCTCCCTCCCCATCATCCCTCAATAGCAGGTGATTTTCAGGCATAATTCCTCTGAGCTACAGCTTTGATCCAGTATCATTTCAGGACAAGTCAAACTTCACATACTCCATTGATGTCCTAAACCTCAAATCTCTCTTCCTCTCTGCTGAACGCTAGTTCAGGTGTTCATCAACAAGCACCTAAGGGCCTGTGATAGGATCTTATTTGACTTTCCCTGCCATCTTTCTTTCATAACCAAACTTCACTGCTCGAAGAGTTCTAAAACACAGGCCCGATCAAGTTTATCCCTGTCTTTCTGCAGTTCCCCTTCACCGAGAGAATAAATGCTATCCTTGATCTATCATTTCTTAGCAAATCACAACTTGAATCTGGTCTGATCTTCTTCCTTCTTCTACAACTTTCCCACGAGTCATACATAGAAAAGAAAACTAACAATCGCCAGAACCTTCCTGCCATGCTCCTTCTTGTCTCTGATGCTCGTACATGCCCTTGTTTCTACCTGCAATTTTCTTCCCCACTGTTTCTGTCTATTGAGCATCTGCTGGTCTTTTAAAGCTGAACTCAGAGGCCACAATCAATGAGAACTGCCTCTCCTGGCCTCGCAGATGGCCAGAAGTTCTCTACTCATTTTCCATTTTGTGCATGATCCCACTCCCTCCTATGTTAACCACTTTTACCACTTCAAAAACTGCACTGTAATTCCTTCTTGACTATACTTCACTGTACAGGAATTTCTTCTAAGGGTAGGACTGTGATAACTATCCTACCCCCAGGGCATAAAATAAAGCCTGATGCAGAACATATTTTAAATTATTTTTTGAATAAATGAAAATTATTGTGGTACCTGAAACACAGTTAGAAACATGTGAACCAGAGTCCTAGAATATCTCCCATTAAAAGAAACATGAATGGACATCTTGGTGAATGTATTTTCTAAACGCAAAACTGATAACCACTGATTCAGTAATGACTTACTCTTTCCTGTGTTCATATTGCTACGTCCAATTTTTCCTTGTATGTGATACAAATTCATTGAAGAAAACAGGGAAGTAAAATATCTTTCAGCCCCAATAGCTCAGATACTCCAATGTCACTTGCTTATTGACAGGCCTGCATGGGAACTGCATTCATTATAGTTCACTTTCCAAACTTCTTTCTTCCGTGAATGGTAGTTAATCGGTGCATATCTCTTCAATTAAGTTATATGCTCTTTTAGGTGAGGATTTATTTGTTCCCAGAGAAGTGTCTTATGCACAATTAGTATTCAATAAATACTAGTGAATGGTTTAGAAAACATTAATTCAGGCAACAGTGAGAGATGCTGAAAATGGTAGCTTTTGAAGGTGATAGTCTCCATCCTACATTGAAAGGCTTCCTTTGTAATGCTAACAGAAAGACTGTAACAATATTATGCTCTTTGTGACAAAAACAGAGACTGACAACTCAAGTGTCCAAGAGAACACAGATTTAACAAATCCACATGCATGTGAGGTTGCCATATTCTCCACCTATGACACAAGAGCCATAAATAGCTCTACCTGGAGCTGTTAGGTTGGCATGATTGTATTTGCATCTTTTGAATTCTTTCTCCAACAAATGACTTACATCTGAGAGCAGTGAATAGGCTACAAGTGGGACGAGGATTAAATTATTTGGGTAAAGTTAATGGATAGTGTTTTACTAAACTGCAAGATCACAGTCTCAGTAGTTTAGCCAACTGTGGGTAGCCCAATCCATCTTGGTCAAAGAGTTTTCATGGGTTAAGTTTGAGATGGATATAATTGGGAAGCCCACAGAAACAGATGGACTAGAAAAGAAAGGTCAAAATGAAGGAGGAATATAGGGACATCCAGGAACACTGGAAAAGTCTAAAATAATGGGTCCCCAGAAAGGAAATCACCTTGCATTTATAAATGCTTCCATTAAATTCTTTAGGGATGAGGAGCCATGAAACCTGAGAGTTACCTTTATAGGATTAGAACGTGTTGAAGAGAAGACATAGGAGACCTAACACTCTGAACCAATCAAAAAATCAGAGAGAAATTGAGAAAACGAGGACATAGATGTATCAGAGCTGTTCAAGTAACTCTTATCTGTTTCTGCTCATTCCAGAAGGAGGGACGCTGAGGTGGTGTTTATCTCTGCTCTCTCAAGGAGTAGTTACAATATTTCCACAGGGCCTGGAGGGTAAAAGAGTCAAGAAGGAGCTCTACTTCAGCTCCAACATGGTTTCTTGTTTCACTAAGTTGACTTGTTTCATTAGAATTATTTGGTCCTCTCATTTTGGAGGACGTGGAATGGGGAGGAGAGAGGTTTATATTCCAGGAAAAGTGGTACGGAGGCCTAAGATTTAAACCTATCAAGATGGATGACCATTAAAAAAAAGGAAACTAGAAAGGTTTTGGAAGTGATACTGTTCTATCTAGACAAGGATCCTTGACTTGTTTGGGGGTAAGAAGTCACAGGCAATGAGATAAGAGGTACAAAGAGGATGGACTGAATACTTCTGTGAGTCTGGTATCCCCAAGAAAAGAGTTGTCTTGTCCACTGAGACCTATCAGGCCTCCCTTAGTGATTCCCATCCATGACTGTATATTTGAACCTCCCTGGAGCTTTGCAAATCTCCTACTGACTCTGGGCCCTTCCCTAGGGGCTCTGATTTAATTACCCTGGGCTGGTCACAGTATTTTTCAAGGCTGCCCAAGTAATTAAGTACAGTAAGGAGTTGACTGCTAGATTAAATGGATAAAGAGATAAGGGGGATGAAGAAGGAAAAGTAGAATGAATGATCTTGCCCTCCCCCCCCCAGAACTAAACCATATTTGCGGCCCTCCCTGGTGGCGCAGCGGGTTAAAGCATAGCACTAAGAAGATTAAGCCACTTCCACATGAGTTCTATCCCTGCCTGCCCCAGAGGAGATCCGCATGGCGTGGCAGACCTCTCCTGACCCGCCGGCTGCTCCCTCAGCAGTGTACTTCGTCGATCTGCCTGTTCTGCTCCCCACTCAGTCTCTGGTGAAGCCTCTCACCCTCCGCATCTCTGGCCTGTACCCTAGTTCTGTATGAATAAATAAATAAATCTTTAAAAAAAAACATATTTGCAAGTGTGGCATGACCACAGGTGGCTCTTGAGGTGGTATTTATTTGACAGCACATGGCTAAGTCTTCTACACACACATGCCTCTTTAAATGAACATATGAGAATAAAAGTATATATATTTGAAAATATATTAGAATCTATGCAGAACGACAACTTCGGAAATGCCTATACGTTATTGCTTAGGAACAGGCTAAGACAGGTACTGAAGTTCAGAGAGGGGATCTATTTAAGTGAATATTCTATAAACTCTAGTCCAGCTGGAATGCAGATACCCCAGACATTTTTGAAAGAGGAATGTAGTTTGGGGAGCACGGACCTTTCTTTCCTCCTGCTGAGCAGTCAGGCCAGAGCCACCCTCTGTCCTCTCTTCTCACACGGATGGATGCTTGTGCCTCATCCCAACTGGGCTCAGACTCAAGCCAGCCTCTCCTAGTCACGCTCTGGTTACTGATGGCAGAGCCTGTAACTCACGGACTTTTTTCAGATTCAAATCTGAGCTAAACTTGACTTCGTGTACCTTAGCCACTTTAGCATAATAGGGCAGAAAACCAATGCCCACCGGGTGTTCCAGGCACCCCAGCACAAAAGCAAAACCAAAGTGTCCCAAATCCGGGTTATGCAAACTCAAAGGAGGGCTGAGGTGACAGATATGAAAATCCCGAAGAGAACAAACAAACCCAGCCTGCAGCAAAGGCACTGACTCTGTACATTTCATTCCTTATTTGCCAGCTCAGGGCATGATGCAACCATAGTTGCTCAATTTATATTTGCACGTTTTCCCCTGAACCAAAACGAGCTCCAGAGCTTCCAGGTCCATAAAATTCCTCTTAAAATAGTTCAAGCCTCTAAACCAAGAGGGTCTTGGCCAGGTGACCTCCCCTTCACCTACGCCAAACAAAGTCCAGAGGTTTGGCTGTGCATCGGTAGACTGGGGAGGGACAAGGCACAGAGGCAGGCGGAAGCTGACAGCTACCTTTGCAGCGTTCCTCACTGTTCTCACGTCCACTAGGTTAGAAACTGGCAAGGGCACAGTACACACTTCGCCTTTACTCCTCCCCTGCTTCCTGCACCCAGTTCCTCTCCCAATCCAAAGGGCACAATACTGGCTGGGGGGAAATGTAAAGTCTTCAGCTCTCCTCTGCCTGGTACCTCTCAACCCGTTTCTACACCGCGGCAGCCTCCTGGTCACCCAGTCATGGGCTACCCCTTTGCACCACCCCACAAAATGGCAGGTTAGCAACACGCGAGGCCGAAAGTGCCTGCTGTGTCTTTAGCCAGAGAGGACCTGAAAGCGTCCCCAAAGCCTCAAGCCCTTCTCTTCTCAAAGCCCCTAATTTTGTGCTAGGCGAGGCCGCCGGCTCGCACTCTCAGGGCATGTCAGCGGGGAAGCAGGTGCCAGAGTAACAGGTGCCAGGCCAGTGACCAGGCAGCTGCACGGGGCTTCGAGAGAAGCCCGCGAAGGGGCCGGCAGAGGCCAAGTCGAAAGGAAGGGAAGCCGGGCCGCAGAGTGGAGGCGAACGGGGCTTGGGGGGTCGGATGCAGCTTCCAGACCTCCCTCCCCGGGCACGACCCTCTCGTGTCTGCTCCACTTACAATCTCCAGGCAGACGAAGGCCCCCGAGTAGGTCCGAAGGATGTCGGGGCCGGAGGGCAGGGTGATCCGAGGCGCCGGGAAGGACACGGCGGGGTTCGGGGGCGGCGG